AAAATGTAACCCTATAAATTTCATAGGAAAATCCATTGTACTAAAGGAGTCCACTCTATAGAGTTGTTCGGCTGCCATTTACAGCATTCTTTCAAACCCTCTATTCAGTTTGATTCCTGCAGCAAATACTCTCTCCGTCAAAGAAAAAACCCAACCTAGGAGAAGAGGGAATGTGACCCCTCCTAATACAATAAATCTGAACAACCTTCTATCCAGATTTATTGTACTAGATTCTAAGTTGGTTTTTTTTTTTTGACGGAGGAGGGAGCAGTAGCCATCAGCCGGCTGTGTCGTGGCTGTGCTGTAAATTGCAGACGAACAGTCCCTATACCTCCTGCACTGCACTTGTACAGTCCGTAGTACTGGTTCCAAGTTACCAGCACAGTTTTCAGTTACACTTGCACAGTACTGAGCTGTGAGCATCCCACGGTTCAGTACGTATACACGAGTCGGTTTTCATTGTTCACCAACCATTCAATTCTGAAAGCTTTTCTGAGCAACATGCGGAAGATTCTACTTCTATTCGCAGTGTACTCTAGCTACCCTCATGGCCGTCAGCTACATCCAACTGTACCTGCACGTTCCCGGGAGGCCCCACCGTCACATGCACGCAGAAAAAGAAAGATGCAGAGAAAAGAAGAAGATCACAGCTGCAGTGTCCCTGAAATCTGAAATCCGAAATTTTCTGCTTTAATTTCCTCATCACGCCAACCACTGGATGCTGCTGCTGCGTGCTGCTAATTCAACCAGTAGTGGCACTTAATCAGTGACCTTGTTATGGACAAAACAGAAGAACACTTCAGCCACGTTTAATTAAGATGGTGGTGCATATGATCGATCCTGAGGAATTAATTAATTTGATTAATTGTTGATCGCCCTCCAGCTGAATGAATGAATGAAGGATCAGTGGATTTTGACACATCGCCATTTGTTCAGGGATTAGGATGTCCAATTGTCCATGCATGCGAGAGAGCTAAGGAGAGCCAAGAATGTCCTGCCTACCTACCTGCCATTTGCTGGTCGTCAGGTCAATCCCGGTAGATGGAGATGATGGCGAGAAGAAAAAAGTTGGATTCGTTGGAAAACGGAGCGTTTTTTTAGTTGGCGAGATAGCATCAGAGCGAGCAGTCGATCGAATTGCTCAGCTGAGATGGCAACTCAATCTACCCAGCAGTATCGAGCTCTTTGAGTGTCACTTGGGGTGTATTCAGGTTGCTGCTAGGGTGAAAATTATGGCGAAAATTCCCGAGTGTGCGAAGTTCGTTTTTGTAAAAATGATACAGTTACTGATACAAGTTATATATTAGATTTAAATTTTTCTAATATCTGTTAGCGTTGTAGTATTGAAGTTGTTACTAATAAATAGTTAAATTGATGAATAAAATTCTCGACTGTACCGAGACTATATCTTTCATAGAAATGATATCGTTTCCTCCCGTCTGATCATCATCCAATTTCAGTATGCAGACATGTAGTGTGATGGGGAGGCGAGATGTGTGCATGTACTGTCGGAGAGTCCATGGCAAGAAACCAAGAAGAGGGAAAGAAGAAGGAGAAAGTAAAAGGGGAGAAGAAGAAGAGAAAGCCTGAAAGGGTAGATCTGGCTTAATTAGCTAAGCTGAACCATCATCGTCAGATCCACATGTTGTTCAGGCTGGGACAGAGGAAAGAAAAAGAACTTGCCTATGTGTCATCTTATTTTAAAGACGACTTGTGTTAATTGGTGTAGTATACATGTACACACCTGCGAGCGAGTACACCGACTGTTCCCAAATAATTCTACTGATTAAGCCAAACCCCAAAACAGTTGGAATTCTAGCTCAAAGAAAGCAGCACCCAAATCTGAAAAAAGAAAAATAACAAATCTGAATTGGAAGTTTGAGAAAATATTCGGCCATGCATCCAAATGCGGCCAAGATTAACTCGCGCTCGCACCAATTATTTAAACACGCGTCATTATTTCGTCCTCTTCAGAATCGAATTAGTTAAGCACGTATAGCTAAGCATGTCCTGGTCGCCCAAGCGGTTGCGCCGTCTCCTTCACCCAAAGAACGTTGCAACTCTCGCGAGATCGAGAGCCCGGGGCCCCGGCCGTTGCGCGGTCGCCGTCGCCGTGGAAGAAAATAATCCCCCGGGTAATTAATTACCCGCCTCGACCGTACAAGAGAGATGAGGAAAGATGAAAAAAAAAGAATATTGCTAAATACTTCTGTGTAATTGTTCAAGAATTATTACACCCATCGTCTGTGTAATTGTTCACTATTTGATGGTCAGAACATGCTAAGATTTTGACTGAAATTTTAGAGCTTTGACAATAAGTTTTATATTAAAATAAATTTATAAACACAAGTTTATTATATTGTGATAATGCTTCTCGAGACAAATTTATCGATAGTCAAAATTCTAAACAAAGAACAAATATCATTATAAACATCAAATAGAGTGAGGAGTACTACTTTCGATCCAATTATATATTAGAAGAGTATTTTTCTTTTGAAACAAACAACACTAGACGGTACAATGTTTCATATCGATACAGCAAGAAAAAAAACAAAGGGACTAGCTACAAAACTGTCGAGTGTTTTTTTAGGGAAAAACTTTCAAATCTAACTATAGTATATAATTTCACTATAACTATACTATAATAATAATAACTTGTATATATGTATTAAAATAATATATGCAACTTTATATCTAATTTATATAGAGATAACAATGTAGTTATAGTATAGTTACACTATAGTTACAATGTAATTACAATGTAATTATAGTGTAACTATAATGTAACTAGCATATAACTAGAATGTAACTTACAAATCTACCATAAACATGAGATGATGGGACTAGCTTCTGAAAAGAGAGTTTAGATCCGATAGTAAAATATCTCGGTACAAATCTTAGAGCGGAATCGATGGTCAATAAATTTGACAGTTTTCACTCAAGAAAACTGTCGACGGTTATGTAGCAGTTCCGAAAACAAAAATATAGTCCTAGAAGACTATAATCAAGAAAAAGAAAAAAAACACCACCACGCACCGACATTTTATATCGGAGATCACCATCATATAGAAAATAATTGTCTGGTAAATAAAACTTATGGTAGATCAACATCTTATATCGTTTCTACTAGCATTTTTACAAGCTACAGCAGTAGAATACGTACAGTGAAAACACCCTCTAGCACTAAGCTTCTCTGTTTAATTTAATTATGTGAACCATGCCTTGGTCAATAATTGATGAGCATTATTTGATCATCTCTTGCACATGTGAATCGAGGTCCCCGAGGACAATATTGTATTTTCACTTGCAGAGTTGTATATATGGTCCAGACACCTATACGGCAGTGTAGGGCATCCTTCTGATTAGGCAATTCTAAAGCTTACGTAGGACAGGAACTAGCATGCCTTTTAAGTAATCATCACCGATCAAACAGGAAACACTGATAACTAGATGTTGTTTTATGAGCATCATTAGCATATATAGTTTATCTACTGCTGGTTGATGCCTTGATGTCCCATGTGCAACACAGCAATATTACATGAATTTTCTAACAAATATTCAATCCTAGTTAGAACTGAGAAAATTTCTCACTTCTGGAATGAGGTTTATTTGGGGCCATCAAGAAAACCATTCATGGCAATGTTTCAACTAGATGATTTCAATTTCAATAGAAGGCCAAGTAAACAATACGCTCTATGACTCAACAGTCCACGATAGATTTGCATATACGCACCGCCATTGGCTGATACCTTGATAAATGACCCATTTTCAACACCAACAAGTTCACATGAATTTTCTAACAAATATTGAATCGTAGTTAGAACCAAGAAAATTTCTCAAGATTTATTAAGGACATAATTAAGAAAATTGGTGTATATATAATAGGGCAATGTCTTGACCAGACGATTTCAATATAAGTCCAAGTAAACAGTGCGTTGTATGACTCATAGTCTTATAGTACACGATAAATTTGCGTATAATATTTATGTTTGGTCAAAAGAAAAGTGCAACTGAAAATATGTAATGCTTGTAAAAAAGAAACACATTGGCACCAAAATTTCATCTGATTTTTTAAGAACGTGTTGTGACAAACTGTTTGTGTTCGATTTCCTCGTGGGCACTGGTTTTACAGCTATTTGGAAGGTGGCAGATACCTCTCCCACCTGTTGATTTTTTGTCTTCCACAAGACAAAACCCATTCCAGCCTATGCAGACGGCACTAATCAACTACCATCTCAACCAGCCTAGTGTGCTCCCCAATTAACAATTCCACATCCCTATTAATTAATTTAATCACAAAATCTAAATACACAATCATCACCCACAACCCCCTTTCAAACCCAAATTTCACAATTTACCCCCTCACAGTATCTGAGAAGGCTACAGACCTGGTTCATTTTCTTATTACCCATTCCTAAGAAAAATAGACATATTACTTTTATCACCAAGATCAAAGTAAAATTAATTCATCTTATATATAACAAATATTAAAGAGTGTATGCATGTACGTAACCAATAAATTCTTGGGTTCGCTAAAACATTTAATTATCTTTTTATTTAAGTCTTTAATATATGAAAACTAAGAGTATGACCAACTTATTAAAAAAACCAAAATATTAAATAAGTATTAAACACTTTTGGATGGAGGAAGTAAAATACATATTTTACCTTGGTTTATATTAACACGTTTTTCAAATTACTAAACAGTGCATTTGTGTGAAATCTCTCTATATATAAGTTGCTTTAGAATATCAGATAAAACCATTTTTTTAAATTTATAATAATCAAAACTTAATTAATCGTGAGATAATGATTTTCTTATTTTTCGAGTTCTAACCTCATTTTCATTTTCAGTAAAACAAACACCACTATAGTTGCAAATGCTAAATTATGCAGGGGGTATCTTGCAAAAGTGACAGCCACACCACACTGCCACTGTCGGCAGTCGTTGGGAGAGAGAGAGAGAGAGAGCTCACTACGCGCTTATATAAACCACGCCCCCTTTTAATTAGCGGAATTAAATCGCCGGGGGAAAAAAAATAAAAAAGAGAGGAGGCGGTGGAGGCTGCGGCAGAGTAACAGACTCGGCGCCTCCCTCCTCTCGCTGTGGATCTGCGGCGGCGAGCCGGCGGCGAAGCAAGCAGCGCGGCGCGGATCCTCGGGCGGCGAGGTTGTTCGCACAATCTCGCTCATCCGTCGCGGCGATTCCATGAGAGGTTGGTTGGGTGGGCACTTGGGCTTCTCCCTCCTTCCGCGGCAATTTCGTGCTGTTTTTTTTTTGGCGGTTTTGGTTGAGGCGGCTGGGTTGATGGGGGAATGGCGGCGGTTAGTGCGGTGCGGCTTGTTTACGGGGGTGGGATTGGGGCGGGTTGCCGGAGTTTGGATGCGGAGGCTGAGCGTGTGATCTGGCTGGGCGCGTCGTGAGTGGGGGGAATTCGCGGGGAATGCAGATGCAGCGGTGGTGTTTTTTTTTCTCTTTTTGAGTGGTTTGGTAGTCTGGTGATTCGAGAGGTGGGTGCGATCCACTTGGCGGCGGCTGTTGGGAGTAGCGGTTGCGCTCGTGCGTGCTAGATCTGGGGTTACGCGTCGGTGATTGGTTTAATCCGAGGCGGAATCTGCTCTTGGTTGATGTATAATTCACTTGATCGGATGATTTTGTGTTGGATCTGATGCGCCTTTGTTTTGCTCTTGTGTCGGTTTCAGGTTGAGAGCTTTGCACTGAAGAAGTGGGGGATATTCTGATCTGCTCAGCTAAAGGGGGTTGCAGCTAAACATGGCGGCGGCATTAGCATGGCGGTTCAATGGAACCAATGGAGGCGCAGATCTGGTTGGTGCTCTCCTCGGTGCTGTAGTTCTGAGCTAGTAGAATTGCAGCATGTCACTTTCTTAGCGTCGCTTGAATTGTAAGAGTGCTGTCGTCTACGTTAACGGAGTTATTTGGATTGCGTTTGTTTCTGATGTGGACATCATGGGGGTGAAACGTTGAATAGTATAGCAGTAGGATATGCTTTGAAAGTGAGATCAGTGTTCGGTCTACTTGAGAAAAAGATGTCCATGCATATTTGTCAATTTTTAAGCGTTGGGGATCTTCATTTCAGCTGCATTTTTTAAAGCTTTTGCGCTAGGCCTATCTATCAACTTGGGTATACAATCAGTTTGCAACAATGAGGTCATGAACTAGGAATCTGTTACTCTTATGCTGTCATTTTTTCTGTAGTAACAAAATGAGAATATCATGCTTCTGGGTCATTCGTGTTTATGCTGGTAATGGAACAAAAATGGATTGGATGGCTTTGTAATGCTGTTCTACAAACACAAGGCCCACACAAATGCCCTAAGTTGAAGCTGTTAAATTTATTGTGTAATGCAGTTATTTGGGTGAAGCAATACATAAGTATATATAGAGCTGCTGCATATCTTTTACTTCATCTGTGCATGATCTTGATCTACTAAAACTAATGTTCACTTAGTGCTGGGATCCATGTTTGATTGAGAATGCACATATTATATTTCTTATCTGTTATTTCCCTCATTGCAATCTTGTTCAACTTTATTTTATGCTTATAAAATCAAGTGTCTGTCAGCAATTTGATTTTATGATCTACACAGCATTTTTAGTAAAGTTAAGGATTCATGGCATAGAAACTTGTGGCATGCATCAGCTTATGTAAAGTTCAAAATTTATGTTTGTGTCGCATGCTTGAGTCTCAACATTAACTACCTTTGCTTGGATATTAACAGGAACACAAAGTTCAAGAGTCAGAGCCACCAACTCCTGTCTCAGTGATGAGAATGGTCAAGTAAGTTTGATTCCATTTCTTGGTTTGCACTGTGAAATTCTCATCAATAGCATGAAGAAGTCGGGAAAATGAGCTCAGCCATAGCAGTTAAATTAGCCAAAAAAAAACTTTGTATAACTAATAGGTTTTCTAATTTGTGAGTAAATCATGACCGTAGAACCATTTCCGGGACCTTCACTTTCACCATATTGAAGATAATGAAAAAAGGGTTTATGTGACACACAAGTTATCACTGAGAATATGTTATGTACCTTGATAATGCTATCTTTTAGAACCTAATTACAGTATGTTAATTATAAAATTTATCCTGATATGTAGATAGCCAAGGTGCCAAGCATAATTGTTTTGTAATTGCAGGAACCGTGCCAATGTGGAGGATGAGGAGACACTTTCAAGTGTTGCTCAATGTATTGAGCAGTTAAGGCAAGGTTCTTCATCCACCCAAGAGAAAGAGAACTCCCTGAAGCAGTTATTGGATCTTCTTGAAACAAGAGACACCACATTTGGAGCTGTTGGATCACATGCACAGGCTGTCCCTATACTTGTTTCTCTCCTTAGATCTGGTTCATCTGGTGTTAAGATGCTGGCTGCTACTGTCCTGGGGTCTCTTTGCAAGGAAGAGGAGCTAAGGGTGAAGGTTCTGCTTGGTGGTTGCATCCCTCCCTTGCTTGCTCTTCTCAGGTCCAAGTCAGCTGAAAGCCAAACTGCAGCTGCCAAAACTATTTATGCTGTTTCTCAAGGTGGTATAAGAGACCATGTTGGATCAAAGATTTTCTCAACAGAAAATGTTGTTCCTGTACTGTGGGAGCAGCTCAAAGTTAGCCTCAAGAATGAGAGTTTAGTGGATGGCCTGCTAACTGGAGCATTGAAGAATTTATCAAAAAACACTGATGGGTTTTGGTCAGCTACTGTGCAATGTGGTGGAGTTGATATACTTATAAAGCTGGTTGCTTCTGGACAAGCAAATACCCTAGCAAATGCATGCAATCTTCTTGGGGCTTTGATGATGGAAGACTCATCTGTTTGTTCTAAAGTTCTATCGGGAGAAACAACAAAACAACTCCTAAAGTTACTTGGTCCTGGTAATGAAACTTACATTAGAGCTGAAGCTGCTGGTGCTCTCAAATCCCTTTCTGCACAGAGTAAAGAAGCCCGGCGCCAGATAGCTAATTCTAATGGAATTCCTGCTCTTATAAATGCTACTATTGCTCCATCAAAAGAGTTCATGCAAGGTGAATCTGCTCAGGCATTGCAAGAAAATGCTATGTGTGCATTGGCAAATATATCTGGTGGTTTATCTTATGTAATATCAAGCCTTGGTGAAAGTCTAGAATCATGCTCTTCACCTGCACAGATTGCTGACACTGTTGGTGCATTAGCCTCAGCCTTGATGATATATGACACTAATTCAGAATCTATCAGTGCTTCAGACCCCCTAGTCGTTGAGAAAACACTGATGAAACAATTTAAGCCTAAGGCACCATTCCTTGTACAGGAACGTGTGATTGAAGCTTTGGCCAGCTTGTACAGTAATCCAGTTCTCTGCAGGACACTTGCAGATTCTGATGCAAAACGCTTGCTTGTTGGTTTGATAACCATGGCAGGTACTGAGGTTCAAGATGACCTCACCAAATCACTTTTTGCTCTCTGCAAGAAGGATTGTGATCTATGGCAAGCTCTGCAAGGTCGTGAAGGTGTTCAGCTCTTGATTTCTTTACTTGGTCTTTCCTCAGAACAGCAGCAGGAATGTGCTGTTGCTTTGCTTGCGCTTCTGTCAAAGGAGAATGATGAGAGCAAATGGGCTATCACAGCTGCTGGTGGCATTCCTCCTCTTGTTCAGATTTTAGAAACTGGGTCTCCCAAAGCTAAAGAAGATTCAGCAACCATCCTTGGCAATTTGTGCAACCACAGTGAAGACATACGGGCATGTGTTGAAAGTGCTGATGCTGTGCCTGCTTTACTATGGCTTCTGAAAAATGGAAGTGACAATGGAAAGGAGATAGCATCTAAAACACTGAATCATCTCATTCACAAATCAGATACAGGAACTATTAGTCAGTTGTCTGCTCTTTTAACTAGTGAACAACCTGAATCAAAAGTTTATGTTCTGGATGCTTTGAAAAGCTTGCTTTCTGTGGCACCCCTTAATGATATTCTGCATGAAGGAAGTGCTGCAAATGATGCAGTTGAGACTATGATCAAAATTCTCAACTCACCTAAAGAAGAAACTCAGGCTAAATCAGCATCTGCTCTTGCTGGACTGTTTCATTGTCGCAAGGACTTGCGAGAAACTCATATTGCAGTGAAGACACTTTGGTCAGTCATGAAGCTGATTGATGTGCAGACAGATAAAATACTAATGGCGGCCTCATCCTGCCTTGCTGCCATTTTTCTGTCAATCAAGCAAAATAAGGATGTTGCTGCAATTGGGCGGGATGCATTAGCTCCACTTGTCTCACTTGCAAATTCTACAGTTCTAGAAGTAGCAGAACAAGCGACCAGAGCTTTGGCAAACCTTTTTCTTGATCATGAATTATCTCTGCAAGTATCTTTTGAAGAAATTATCTTCCCCATAACACATGTGCTTAGAGAGGGATCTATTGATGGAAGAACTCATGCAGCAGCAGCAATAGCTCGCCTTTTACAGTGCCGGCCAATTAACCAACCTCTTTCAGATACTATTAACCGATCAGGTGCTGTCCTTGCTCTAGCTGGGCTTTTGGAAGCTGCTAATGGTGAAGCTGCTGCAACATCAGAAGTTGTTGATGCGCTGGTGCTATTATCAAAACCAAAGGTGTCAAGTGGGCATACCAAAGCTCCATGGACAGTTCTTGCAGAAAATCCCCACACCATACTTCCTCTTGTGTCATGTGTAGCGGATGCAGCACCTTCATTGCAAGACAAGGCCATAGAAGTTTTATCGAGGCTCTGTTCTGATCAACATGATATTGTGGGTGGTTTGGTTTCAGAAATCCCAGGCTGCATATCATCAGTTGCACGGCGAGTCATTGGGTCCAACATGCTTAAAGTTAAAGTTGGTGGATGTGCTCTTCTTGTTTGCGCAGCGAAAGAGCATTGTCAGAAGCAGATAGAGATTCTCAGTGACTCAAGCTTGTACATTCAACTAATCCATTCTCTAGTCAGTATGATTCATATGACAAACTTGCCTTCTGAAAATGGGAGTGGTGAAAACATATCAGACATTAAAATTTCTAGACACTCCAAAGAAAATAACAACAGCGATGAAACTGTGTGCCGCACTGCTGTAATCTCAGGTAACATGATTCCGCTATGGCTGCTTGCTGTTTTTGCACGCCATGACAGCAAAACAAGGGCTGAAATTCTAGAAGCTGGAGCAGTCGAAATGCTTATGGAGAAGATTTCTCAAAATGCATTCCTATATGTGGTATGTGAATGCTAGCATCTCTTGTGCACTTTAGTATTTTAACATCATGCTAGTTCTAAAATAAACATAGGCAGCGTAGTTCCGTTAATTATTCTTTTGGTTTATCTGATTTCTCTTTTGTAATGAGAATTGGAACCAGGGTTTTATTTGTTTTAAGAAAAAGAAAACTTTATGTTAATTTGGTAGTTATGCAATAAGTCTAGGCAACAGTAGCATATAGGAAGCAGTGGGAGCTAGATTGAACAGGTTGTTGGAGAACCCAGCTAAGAGGCCATGTTAAAGTTTATTGCTAGAGTGAATAGTTGAACTCCTCAAAGGATTCCATCCCTTTGCCACCATCAGAGCCCTATAACAAATTTTATACTTTTCCATTGAATAGTCTTTTGTTAATGCATATTGTTGAATTCTTGGGGTTGATGTGAATTGATTGAAGTCTCAAGGATTAGTATAGTTCTTGTGCACAACATCACCTGTGCATGTACACAGTAAGTGTGTTCAATCATCCTTCTTTTGTATTTATTCTCGATCCATTTATCTCCTATCTGTTACTTTGGTATTGCAGCTTGTTTGCTTCTAGTCAGCAGAGAGCTAGAGACCCATCGTATATCTTGCACTAGCAACCCTGCTGTAGTTGTTACACATTCTTGATGCCACAAGTAGGGTGTCTGGAACAAAACATTTGTCCCAGTGTTTGGGTTGGTTTCATGAACACAAACTCAAATATTCAATAACAATATTCTTATAATCACATCAAGTTTAAATTGCAACAAATAACAATATATAGGAAACAGGAATGCACAGCATTCCTGTTGTTCTGGTTCAATATTCAGAATATTGAACTTTGTGTGGTTCCGTAAATTCTTCATTCTCATGTGATAATATCTAATTTTGACTGTAGATATCTACTCAAATATTGTTTTTTTTTTACTTTGTTGCTTTTTACATACTATTTATATATCTTGCCAAGTTCTTTTGATAGCTGCGATTGCTGAAATGTATGATCATACTTTTCAGGGTGAAGAAGATAGCACCGCATGGGTCTGTGCCTTACTTCTTGCTTTGCTATTTCAAGAAAGAGAGATAAATCGATCTAATGCAGCATTGCACTCAATTCCTGTGCTCTCAAACTTGTTGAGGTCAGATGAACAAGCATACAGGTACTTTGCTGCACAAGCTTTGGCAAGTCTGGTTTGCAACGGTAGCAGAGGAACTCTTCTTGCTGTTGCTAATTCTGGGGCGGCCACTGGACTTATTTCTTTGCTTGGATGTGCTGAGGTTGATATAGCTGATCTTTTGGAATTATCAGAGGAGTTCATGTTGGTTCCTAATCCTGATCAAATTACACTGGAAAGGCTTTTTAGAGTTGATGATATCAGGGTTGGCGCAACTTCCAGAAAATCTATTCCTCTTCTTGTTGACCTACTCAAACCCATTCCAGAAAGACCTGGTGCTCCTTTCTTGGCGTTGGGTCTTCTGACACAATTAGCTATTGATTGCCCCCCAAACATGATGCTAATGGCTGAAGCTGGAATCCTAGAGGCACTTACCAAATACTTGTCACTTAGCCCACAAGATGCAACAGAAGAAGCTACAACTGATTTGTTAGGCATTCTTTTTAGTTGCGCAGAAATAAGGCACAATGAAGCAGCACTTGGTACTGTTAACCAACTTGTGGCAGTCCTTCGTCTAGGAGGAAGAAATTCACGCTACAGTGCTGCGAAGGCATTAGAGAGCTTATTTATTGCAGACCATGTCAGGAACAGTGAGTCAGCTCGCCAGGCTATTCAACCACTTGTAGAAATTCTGAGTACTGGCATGGAGAGGGAGCAGCATGCAGCTACATCAGCACTTGTTAGGCTGCTTTCTGACAATCCATCAAGAGCACTTACGGTTGCAGATGTTGAGATGAATGCAGTGGATGTCCTGTGCCGGATTCTTTCTTCGGATTCTTCAGCTGAGTTGAAAGGAGATGCTGCTGAACTATGCTGTGTGCTATTTGCAAATACAAGGATCCGCTCTACATCAGCTGCAGCCCGGTGTGTGGAGCCTTTGGTTGCTTTACTCGTTTGTGAAGCTAACCCAGCCCAGCTTTCTGTAGTCCGTGCACTGGACAGGCTTCTAGATGATGAGCAACTAGCAGAATTAGTTGCGGCCCATGGGGCAGTCATTCCTCTTGTTGGCCTTTTGTTTGGCAAAAACTACACGCTCCATGAGGCAGTTGCTAGAGCTTTGGTAAAACTTGGAAAGGATAGGCCAGGTTGCAAATTGGAAATGGTCAAGGCTGGTGTAATTGAGAGCATTCTAGATATTCTGCATGATGCTCCAGATTTCCTTTGCATTGCTTTGGCAGAAATGCTTCGGATTTTGACAAACAATGCTAGCATAGCTAAAGGTCCATCGGCAGCCAAAGTAGTCCAGCCCCTTTTCTCTTTACTATCCAAGGCAGATATTGGTCCTGAGGGGCAGTACAGCACTTTGCAGGTTCTTGTGAATATTTTAGAGCATCCTGAATGCCGTGCTGATTACAATTTGACACCCCGGCAAACTATTGAGCCAGTCATTTCTTTACTGAATTCCTCTCCGCCTGCTGTCCAACAATTAGCTGCAGAACTCCTATCACATCTTATTCTAGAAGAGAACCTCCAGAAGGACACAATAACGGAGTTGGCCATCCCTCCTCTAATTCAAGTTCTTTCATCGGGTTTGCCAAACTTGCAGCAAAGGGCTATAAAAGCTCTTGCTAACCTTGCATTAGCTTGGCCAAATACGATTGCAAAGGAGGGTGGTGTTTTTGAGCTGTCCAAGGTGTTGTTGCAATCTGACCCTCCTTTGCCTCATGTTGTATGGGAATCTGCTGCATCTGTCTTGTCTAGCATATTGCAGTACAGTACTGAGTTTTTCCTTGAGGTGCCTGTTGCAGTACTAGTGCAGTTACTCAGATCAGGAACAGAAAGTACTGTCGTTGGTGCACTGAATGCATTGCTTGTATTGGAGAGTGATGATTCGACAAGTGCGGAGGCAATGGCTGAGAGTGGTGCTGTGGAAGCTTTGCTGGATCTCTTGAGGAGTCATCAGTGTGAGGAAGCTGCTGCCAGACTCATTGAAGCACTTCTGAACAATGTAAGAATAAGGGAGGCGAAGGCTGCTAAAAATGCTATTGCACCTTTGTCCATGTACCTTCTGGATCCTCAGACACAATCTCAACAAGGAAGGTTGCTTGCTGCTCTTGCTCTTGGAGATCTTTTCCAAAATGAGGGTCTTGCTCGTTCTACTGATGCTGTTGCCGCATGCCGTGCTCTAGTAAATCTTCTTGAAGACCAGCCAACTGAAGAGATGAAAGTGGTAGCCATTTGTGCCTTGCAGAATCTAGTGATGTATAGCCGAGCAAATAAGAGGGCAGTTGCAGAATCGGGTGGCGTCCAGGTTCTGCTGGATCTTATCAGTTCAAGCAATCCTGATACCTCTGTTCAGGCAGCTATGTTTGTTAAACTTCTATTCAATAACCACACTATCCAAGAGTATGCCACTAGTGAAACAGTCAGAGTTATAACTGGTAATTAAGACTTCCTTATTTCTGTCATACCCATTTTGTATTAGTTATTTTTCCATTATAATTGTTTGACCACTACCTTTAGTATGAACAGGTTAATTTAACGATATCTAGCAAGAATCAAGTTGTTTGACCATTTATGCTTTGCATTACATTGAGTATATGTTCTAATGCTTTTATACGGAGGCATTTTTAAGTATAAGTTTCAGTGTAAAAAAAACAATTTTCTTCTGGCAACCTTTGAATACGCACTTTTTTCTCATACTGAGAATTTACTTACACATCTGATTACAATGTTTTGCATGCAGCTTCAATTGAGAAGGACATATGGGCATCTGGGAGTGCTAATGAGGAGTATCTTAAGGCTCTTAACGCTCTACTTAGTAACTTCCCTCGCTTAAGGGTCACTGAACCTGCTACCTTATGCATTCCTCATCTTGTAACATCTCTCAAGACTGGTTCTGAGGCAACCCAGGAAGCTGCACTGGACTCACTGTATCTTCTTAGACAAGCATGGGGAGCTTGTGCAGCAGAAATATTTAAAGCTCAGTCAGTTGCTGCCTCAGAGGCTATTCCGCTACTTCAGTACTTGATACAGTCTGGCCCACCTCGGTTCCAAGAAAAGGCAGAATTGCTTCTTCAGTGCTTGCCTGGTACTTTGACAGTTACTATAAAGCGTGGCAACAATCTAAGGCAATCAGTTGGAAATCCTAGCGCATTTTGCAAGCTTACTCTTGGAAATAATCCGCCAAGGCTGACAAAGGTACGGACAGATTTGCTTGTTATTCATTACAGAGCTGTTGATCCACAGTATGATTCTGTGCATTCACGCTGACAATAGATAACTAGCTACGACCCACAGTTAACATTTTTAATATCTTCTTTGGATTCATCGCAAAAAAAAAAATCTTCTTTGGATTGGTTTTTTTATTTGTCCACTTTTACTCTGCGCCACCTGGTCTGATTTTAGTCTTATCGAGTTCACACATTGGGTTTTGGGCTGAGCCCAATTGGATTTCGTTGAAGGTTTACTGTTTCAATGTTTTTCCTACCTCTTCTAATTCTTGGACCTTCTATTATTTACAAGGTTAAGGGTGTGTTTGCAAGAGCAAGTTCCCAACACTCACCTCTCGTTTTCCGCGTGCATGCTTTTCAAACTGCTAAACGGTGTGTTTTTTGAAAAAAGTTTCTATACAAAAGTTGTTTAAAAAAATCATATTGAACCATTTTTGAAAAAAAATTTAGCTAGTACTTAATTAATCACGTGTTAATGAACCGCTCCGTTTTCCGTGGATAGGAGATGGGTTCCCAACACCCACCTCCAAACACAGCCTTAAGGATAGAATCCATCAGGGGTTACTAATCCTATTACTGATATCCAATGTAAAGGATCGTAACTCAAATCAACCATCAAATTCCTAACTGTTTTAGGAGTACAAAAATAGCACAACTCTAGATTTTTCCGTTTACCTGTGAACAGCAAATGCACTGAAAAAAAAGGTTGACCAACCTGTCAGGAAAAGGGAGTCATTGATTGTAGGAAGTGTTCACAGATGGTGTAGTTGTCATCATACTACATATTTCTCTACAGAAGTTTTTTGCTGATGTAAACTGTCCCCAATATTATCGTTAATACTATAAATTACAATAACTTCTATTTTCAAGTGCCTTTTTGTGTTTATGGCTGTCTGTTTTCTTATGCTGACAATCTGCACTTTGAATTAGATGTTTGCCATTTTTATTATAATGATAGTAGCTCATATGTCAATTCACCATTGTTATCACTGTGGCTTTAGTCCTTTTGTTTTGCGTTCCACTAACGTGCTGTGAAACGCAGATTGTCTCAACTGGTGCAACACCTGAATGGGATGAAGCCTTTGCGTGGGCGTTTGACAGCCCTCCAAAGGGGCAGAAGCTTCATATCTCCTGCAAAAACAATAGCAAATTCGGAAAGGTACGAAAATACTGGATATAATATTTTTACCATCTTAGATCATTTATCTGTTTCTTTTACGATCATATAGAAGATTCAGCACGCATACACACCATTTTGCACGTAAGCCAAGCACTTAGCCGTTGTATTCGCATCCTCACTCTCCAACTGCTGTTGCAGAAATCATTTGGTAAGGTGACAATCCAGATCGATCGGGTTGTCATGCTGGGCTCCGTTGCTGGCGAATACACCTTGCTACCAGAGAGTAAAAGCGGTCCTAATAGGAACCTGGAAATTGAATTCCAATGGTCAAACAAATGACAAGTATCTACATAGTTAGGTTATCTGTGTAAGTTAAAATCCATAAGAAGTTGAGAGAGTGTTCTTGTTTTCCATACTCTGCTATAAACGTTACCATATTTGTGCATCAGTGTAAATAGCCTGCAGAGAAATTTGTCGTTTTGTTGTACCTTTCTGTGAGATAAAAGAGAACAGATGAGTCATATTTTGTACTGATTGTAATGAATTGATTCATTTTTTTCCACGGGATTTTTATTTGTAAATGGTGTAAATGCTTCCGCACTCCTATAAGCTGCACGGATCTTAAAGTCAATTAAAAAGGTGTATGTTTGTACTGAAAGGTATACTGTATATTTTCTCCGTTTCACAATATAAGTCATTCTATACATAATTAGATATAGCAGCTATCTGAATCATGTCGTTAAAGTTAAGGGGAATCTTCTCTAGATTATTAGGAGTACTAATTACTGGAATCATAGGCATGAAGAAGTTGTAACTTGAGAGATATTGGGTATGAAGATTTCAAGATCAGGGTGGACATTGGCTCCAGTTGTGCTTCCGACATCAAGCAAGAAAACAGCTCTTACGGCTGGAAGGTAGGTATCACAACTTTAACATTGTCCACTTGGACGTTTCTCTCAAAACTATTATGAAATCCTGACAGTGCCAAACAATTGAGTCAAAATTTACATTGTTTTGCGCCATAAAGAGACCATAACCAATTAACCATAACGCACGGGACCCCTTTCGTTGGCCTGAAACTGCATATAAATTTGCAGCATGTTCAGAACTTTCAACGGAGCCATTGGACAGGGGGCGACACATGGTGGAACCACTGGCAATGTGAACCCCTGAAATTGCCTGAAGAAGGCCCAGACGACAGTGAAAAAGAGAAGAAGCCAGAGGTCTGGCCCCACAATTTGGTGGCGGCCACGTGTAATGGGGCTCAGCTGGCCTATGACAATGGGCTTATTATTATTATTATTATTATGTGAAGAATCAAGAATGTGTAGACCATTCACCACCTAGCAGAGATGACAACTTCAATGGCTGATGCATGCATGCATCTTTCCATGGCTCACTTTCCCTTGCAATTTTTCATCCATTTTCTCTCTTGCTCGCATCATCTCCCAAACATGATAATATGATATACCCCCATGATGCAAAGTTTGTCCTGGAGTAGTGGAGTTAATGGGTGACACCAACAGATCTATTGAGAAATGTAAAAGGAGGCACAATTAAAGATGCTGGCCGAGAGAACTCAGCTTTCTCTTTTTCACAAGCTTTGCTTTTGAGCTCGTCACATTCATGTAAACCGGCCATTTGTGTCTTTGTGCGTGCATACGTGTGATTTTTTGCGACGCCGAATCTAGTATGGCGTTTTCGCGTCTCTGCTTGCATCATTGCATATGGTATGTGTGGTACTGTGGTTGCTTTATTTGGCAGGTATTGTGAGCACTGACTAGGCAAACATTATTCATACAGTTTTATATTTAAATTAGTCACCATTGATGCTATTTACAATTCAAGGGAGTGGACGGTACAGGATTAGTCTCTAATAGCGGTATAAACGATTGGAGCCTTTCAAAAAAAAATTTGGGCAACGTGATTATACCTTTTTTTACCTACTAATCCAATTACATACAGATATAATTGTGTCGAATATAATAACTCATATATAAAAAACAAAAGATCAATCAACAGAGAATAAAGATGCTCCACCTACAAGTGACATAAGAGATCCGAGCAGACGAAAGCAGCCACAACGTTAACTAATTTTGACACGTGCAACAAAAATTTATAAAAAGGTAGCCGTCTAAATTAATATTCATGCTTCAAAATAATATCTGGTCCTATTTTGATACAAACCAAATTTTCTCTGTCTAGTCGACAACGTAGTGACTACTCTGCTTAGTACCATGCATGACTTCTGAACACACCATGGCCAACCATATGTTTTTAGGCTTTAGCAGGGGAGAGGATCTTTTTCTCTGCATTGAGCCGTCACGGAATCAAATAATTGAACGATTAATTATGCAGACTTTCAGAGCAAGAGAGCGAGAGCGAAAAAAAAGAAACGTCAGCTTCAATTCGTCTCGCCGACGACAGGTGACGGCTTGGCGTGTTCCGGGGCATCTCGATCTATCGTACGTCGTCATGGCCACCTGGAAGGCCGAGAGCTCGCGCGCCGTACCGCGTGACACCGCCGTCGAGTCGTTTGCCTGGCTGTGCGTGCCTACGGATGAAATGGCGTACTGATCGACGACATCTCGGCTTAGCTGAGATCGATCGCGGCCCGGCCTGTGCATGCATGCGATGGATATTGAGATGTCTCCCTCCGGCGCCTTTCGCCGACCGCCGCACAGCTGTGCCGGCCGGCCAAGCGCAGCACGCACGCCGGACACGAACATGGCGCCGGGATGCGTCGTGGCATTATTGGCTACTCTAAAGGTCGCTGGATGGCTATGTGCTTCTTATATATTACTCCATCCGTTCCATTTTTAAATGTAATTGTATGTTTAATGTATAACGTTTGACCGTTCATCTTATTTAAAAAATTTATGAAAAAAAATTTAAAAAATAAGTTATACATAAAGTATTATTTATGTTTTATCATCTAATGACAATAAAAATATTAATCATAAAATTTTTTAAATAAAACAAATGGTCAAACGTTGAACACAAGAATTAACGGCTGCACTTGAAATGGAAGGGATGGAATATCTTGGTTATATTCGAGGAGCTTCTGATAACTGAAACAACTAATTTTTCATCCTCTTGAATTATTCAGACTTACCCAATGTTTGTGTTTGAAAAATTCAAAAGATAAATTTGAAGTCAGAAACTAGAAAACCTATCTCGCTTTTTTTAAGAAAAAATCATCAGTTGTATCTTAGAATCTTGAGTTGAGCCACTGTAGGATGTGATGCATATGTATTACATATGTGCTTTCAAGGTTTGTTTAGATTTGACACATGAGAAAAAAGTTGAACTTTGGTACGTGTGTGTATGTGATGTGTTAAAAGAAAGGTGAAGTGGAGGAAAGGTTGCAAAGCTGAACTTGTGTTTGTCATGTGCAGAGAATTAGTTGATACGTCAGCGATATATATAGCGATGGATCTTATGTACTAACTATGTGATCGAAGGCAGTAATTACATTGAACTATATGATATATGATTATAACTAGAGGGAGTATATTGCTGACCAATACTCTCTATTAGGGTTGTACATTTTGATATTCTTTTAACAAACTATTCAAATAAACCATTGTTTTTCCGCCTTTGCACAACTAGGACGATCTCTAAGTACACATACTCTCATTTCTGGTTTCAATGGTTTGCTAAAAAGTCAGAATGTACAGCATTTTCTATTGGTTTTCGTAATGTATGTTTTGATTTACGGAATTCCTAGCACTACCATTCTTGTTGATTAATCGTGAGTGTTGAATAAAAAAAACTCTTACTCCAAGATGACAGTATATGAACAAATATCCCATGAGTGTTGAAATGCCTATTATCAAAAGTATTCAAAATTATTATAAAACTATAATTCATAAACATTTAACTCAATTGGCTATGGTTCTTGTGATGAAACCAACTCTTCCGAGTTCAAGACATAGACTTGACATGAATGCTCGTATTTACGGCTAATTATTCTTTTAGTGGTAAGACGTTCGTGATGATTTCGTCAATATCAAGATATACCGATCTATTCTTTCGGAAATGCTCATAGGATAGGGTGTGTGTGTTTTGTATTCTCAATCTCAAGATATAACGTCCGTGATGACTTCGTCAATATCAAGATATACCGATCTATTCTTTCGGAGATGCTCATAGGGTAGAGTGTGGGTGTTTCGCATTCGTCAATCTCAAGATATACTTGCATATTCTTCTGGAGATGTTCATAGTGTAGGGTGTTTGTGTTTTGCATTCGTCAATCTTAGGATATATCGGTTTATTCTTCTAGAGCTGCTCATAGAGTTAGGGTGTGTGTTTTGTATTTCCGAAGATGCTCCTATGGATAGGATGTGTATGTTTTGTATTCATAGGAGTGCGTACGCATATCTTACGAGGGCTTGTACTATGTTTTAGAAAACAAAATTCATAAAAAAGAAATCGAAGCCATAGACCATACCAACACAAAACCCTTCCTAGAGTAAGGCTCTGTTCGTTCCAGGGTGATAGGGGAGATTAAGTCTCGTTTTCCGCGCGCACGCTTTTCAAACTACTAAACGATGTGTTTTTTTGCAAAAAATTTCTATAGAAAAGTTGCTTTAAAAAATCATATTAATCTATTTTTGAAATTTAAAATAGTTAATACTTAATTAATCATGAGCTAATGGCTCACCTCGTTTTGCGTATCTTCTCAATCTCATCAATCCCGTTCTACTCAAACACACCCTAAGAGTTGCATCAGTCTGGAGAAGGGAAAGTATCCCCCTAGATTCCAATGGACGGCCCAGATCACCCAGATTCCCTCCCCTACCCTCCCTCCTATTTTAACAACCAACCCCTCTCTCCCTCTTCTTCCTCCCCCACTCTCTCTCTCTCTCGAGCTCGAGCTCGAACACTTCCACCCCAAGAAGAGGAGAGGAGGGGAGGAGGAGAAGAAAAATCCTTGGAAAGAAGCATGACGACGCTGGGGAAGAGGCACAGGAACAACAGCTCGATGCGGCGGACGACGAGCATGTCGGGGTTCGCGGTGGCGGAGGAGGAGGAGCAGCAGGGGAGGCAGCCGCCGGCGCGGGCGGCGAGGGGCGGCGGAGGTGGTGGCTCGGCGGCGCCCTCGCCCGGGTGGGGCGCCATGCAGAGGAGGCACTCCGGCGACTTCGCCGTGGCGGAGACGGCGGCGTTCCTCAAGGCGTGCGGCATCTGCAACCGCCGCCTCGGCCCCGGCCGCGACACCTTCATTTACATGTAAGCAAGCAAGCAAGCTGCTCTGTTTTTTTTCCCTTTATTGCCTCTTATTTTGGTCAAATCTTGCATGCTTTCCTCGAGATTGATATTTTTTCAAACAAAAGATTTGCGGTTATTTTGATCAGTTTTGGTTTGTTTGAGCTAGTTCTTGCTGATCTTGAGATTAAGGGATTGACTGGTTTATGCCGGTCTTCCTTAATTATTTTGTTCTTGGATATGTACTAGTAGTAGTTTTGGATGATCTGATATTATGTTGAGGAAAAAAAACATATTTCGATCTGTGCCTTTTCCTAAGTTGAAATGAGTTCTTGTTTGATCAGATTCTTCCTGTTTTGGTAGAATATTCCGTCTGTTCATTGCGTTTGATTCTCCCTATAGGGTGTATTTAGATCCAAACTTTGGATCTTGCAAAATTCCATCATATCAACCTGTCATACACACACAACTTTTCAGTCACATCATCTCCAATTTCAACCAAAATTCAAACTTTGGATTTAACTAAACGCAGCCTGTCTTTATAATCGTTCTCTTTTTTTTTTGCGATTAATAAATACTGTGTTGTATGTATGCATGAATGTGACACTTGTGCGGTGCCGCTCCGTTTGCAAGAATCAAGTACAAATAGGATGTAAAAAAAGGAATCAGTTGCTCCGTTTGGTTTGCATGATTGGATATACAGTCATGGGCATGGCTAATCATCAAAATACCTTTTGTGTCACTCACTCTTTTGCATCGGTCGGATGAACAAAGAACGCATTTTCCCCCCTTTTCTTCTGAAGGAAAAAGAATCAAAATTTCCCCTTTCTTGGTGTGCATGCAAGTGGCAGTTTTTTTGAAAAGAGAAAAAGGCTATCACAGTAGCTGATCTGCCCTTCTTTAACTAACAAGAAGATAGTTCATTAATTAATCAAACTACCCATATTACTTTTTTTTTTGGTAAATGAATCATAATTGAGTTTTTGTTCTTGAATTCATTCAGGGGTGAAGTGGCCTTCTGCAGCCATGAGTGCAGGCAACAGCAGATGAACCTGGATGAGCTCAACGAGAAGAAATGCTTCCAGCGGGAAGGCGGCGGCGGCTCTGACAAGTCCGGCAACAGCGGCGCCGTAGCCGCCGCCTAGCATCGCCGGAGTAGGGAAAAAATTATGAAAAAAAAATGGAGAAATTTTGGCATCCTTACAGGAAACCAAATATATCTATATATGTGGTGTAACTGTGTATATTGGTGGCTCAGGATAATTATGAGCCAAAGGGGGAGGGAATTATGTAGAGATTGGAATTGGGCTAGCTAAAAGTTTTCGGATTGCAATGCATCTGGAGCAAGATTAGGCCGTGGGATTTGGAGCTGTTTTGAGAACTTTATGAAGGATGAACTTAAGTTCTCCAGATTGTTGGAAAATGTGCACCACCCTTCTTGAATTTTTGAATTACTTCTTGCAGTTAATATTTTGTAGAATCTTGAGATAGATGATCGTTGGTATGTTCGGGGAGTTTCTAGCCGCTACAACTACACCTATTAACCCAACAGTTTAAATTCGACTTAGTAGCTACAAAATTCAGAAATAAATAATTTACTTTATCTAGACTAACCAATTGCTTCTCAGAGTATCCAGCTCTCAAATAGAGCCTTAGCCTACTTGAAGAATTTAACATTTACCAATCCAATGCTTGTGCATTGCTATAGATAAAAGACCATATTACTATCACTAATCATATATAGGGCTAAATAGGTCATTTCCATTTTGATGACGTGGTATGTTGTGCTGACGTTAGCAAGCAGGTCACGTCATGTTACCCAATGTTCTGGCGCTTCATATCAAGATCTGCCCATCTGAACGTGCATGAGGCAACAAATTAGAAAGAACTCCACAGCTTTGGTTGATCTTACATGAAAATCTTCAGGTTTGCTGCAGGAACAAGTGAGCAATGGCTTACTAAATCTGGTTGTAGCTGGCAAGAGCTCTGTTTCTGAAGATGGAATCTTGGGCTGTGTTTGGTTGATTCTGACAGGCAGGTTGATTTAATTTATCACTTGGAGACAGAGTTATTGTCAATGGTGTGCATAATTTTAAGATCTGATTCCTGTGACAGCGAGGAGATCTCATCGGGATCTAGTAATATCAGAACCTATCCCTTCAGGGTTGCGTTTTCAAAAGAGAGAAGACAAGCGGAGGTACAATACAACGTAATTAGATCTTGTCCATTAGTTTTTAACATGCGCAAATCCTTGCATCGAAGGGGAAAATCTGAAGGTGTATGTAAAATTCAAATCTTGGTGCCTTCACGCATCCATATTTGACTTCATAACTCATGAGCAACAAGCAGGTCCGTAAAATCTGCTTACGTGCTATAAAGTCGAGGTTTAAAATTTCGGTGCCCATAGTTACATATACGCACACGTTTTATCTATGTATCTATGTATCTATCTATTATCTATTATATTATTAAAGAATAGAAAAATGAGCCCCAACATTCGTTCTCATGACCTAGAAATTCTCACATTAATCGGAGAAAAAGAAAAAACAGAGTCTATATAGAAATACAATTTAGAAATAGCTGAAATTCGGAATTAAAAAATAAGAAATATTAGAAGAGGAGACTAGAGTCCATATAGAAATACAATTTAGAAATAGTTAAAATTCGGAATTAAAAAATAAGGAATATTAGAAGAGGAGACTAGAGTCCATATAGAAATACAATTAGGAAATAACTGAAATTCGGAATTAAAAATAAGGAATATTAGAAGTAGAGTATAGAGTCCATATAGAAATACAAATAATTGAAATTCGGAATTAAAAATAAGGAATATTAGAAGTAGAGTATAGAGTCCATATAGAAATACAAATAATTGAAATTCGGAATTAAAAATAAGGAATATTAGAAGTAGAGTATAGAGTCCATATAGAAATATAATTAGGAAATAATAGAAATTTGGAATTAAAAATAAGGAATATTAGAAGTAGAGTATAGATTCCATATAGAAATACAATTAAGAAAAAAAGAAATTCGGAATTAAAAAATAAGGAATATTAGAAGTAGAGTATAGAGTCCATATAGGAATTTAAAACTAACTAAAATTTGGAATAAATATAATAAAATTAAAAGTAGAGTTTAGAGTCTATATAAAGATACAATTTACAAGTAACTAAAATTCGAAATTAAGAAAAACATAGGAATAAGAGTTTAAAGTCAATATAGGAATACAATTTAGAAGCTATTGAAATTCGAACGGAGAATAGCTAATATGGTCCCTAAAGTTTCGCTCCTGGGTCATTTTAGTCCTTAATCTTTCATATTGTCCAAACAATTCCTTTAATTTTGTCATGTGGATTGATATAGTCCTTGGTCCCACTAAAATCGCCACATGGACATGCCATGTCACATTCCTATGCAAAATCTATATGATTTGTCCAATTTACCCTTACATATATCATAGGAAAATAAAAAATAAAAGGTAAAATGTAAGAGCAAAAATATACCTCAAAAGGGTGAAAAAAAAGGATAAGTATTTTTTCCTATGGTTATGTCTAATTCATCCTTATATTTATTTTTGTATGATATACGTAAAGGTAAATTGGACAATTCTTCATAGATTTTGCATGAATGATGACATGGCATATCCATATAATGATTTTGGTGGACCCAAGGACTATTCTAGACCTTATGACAAAGTTTAAGGATTTCTTTGGACCATTTAAAAGGTTAGGGACTAAACTGATCCTACAGAGAAACTTTAGGGACTAAAGTAGCTATTCTCCCAAATTCAAAAATAAAAATTAAAGAATATTGAAAGATGAGTTCAGAGTCCACATGGAAATACAATTAGAGATAATAAAAATTAAGAAATAAAAATAAATAATATTAGAAAAAGAGCATAGAGTCTATATAGAAATACAATTTATAGAAAATTCGGAATTAAAGAAAAGAAATATTAAAAGACGAGTCTAGAGTCCATATAGGAATATATATAATTTACAAATAACTAAAATTTGATATTAAAAATAATTAATAACTAACACGTATATAAAATACAATATGAATATTAGTAGTTTTGTAAAGTTATTGCAAAATTTAAAATTATGCTATCATTTTAATATATTTGAATAATATAATGAGAAAAGATATATACTATTATATGAGAGAAAATATAATGATGCTAGCCGCGCAATCTGCACGGGCCACCATGCTAGTTATATTATTAAAAAAGCTTTGAAAGGAGGCACCACGTTTGCTGTGGGGGTTAGAAATTAACACATTAATAGGAGGAAAAGAAAAGAAGAGTCCAAGTAGAAATACAATTCAAAATAGCTGAAATTTGGAATTAAAAATAAACAATATTGAAAGAATAGTCCATATAAGAACCCAATACGAGATTAATTAAAATTAGAAATAAAAATAAAAAAATTAGAAAATAGAAAATAAATAGAGAGTCTAAATAAGAATACAATTTAAAAATAACTTAAATTTGGAATTAAAAATAAGGAATATTAAGAGAAGAATACATATAAGAAACCCAATATGAGATTAGTTAATATTCGAAACAAAAATAAAAATAAAATATGAAATTAGCAAAAATAAAAGAGAGATTAGTTAATATTCGTAATAAAAATAAAATAAAAATCCAAAATTAGCAAAAAGAAAAGAAGAGTTCAAGTAGGAATACAATTTAAAATTAACTAAAATTCGGAATTAAAAATAAGCAATATTCAAAGAAGAATCCATATAAGAATCCGATACGAGATTAATTAAAATTCAGAACAAAAAATAAAATAATATCCAAAAATAGAAAAAAATAAAAGAGAGTTAAGTAGGAATACAATTTTGAAACAACTAAAATTTAAAAAAATAAATAAAAGAACACTATACGGTATTAATTAAAATTTGAAACAAAAAATAAATAAATTCTGAAATTAGAAAAAGAAAAAAGATTTCAATTAGGAATACAATTTATAAATAACAAAAATTGGTATAAAAAATAATGAATATTAGAAGAAAACACCATCTAAAACACACGACGAGATAAATTAAGTAACAGGCCTATAAAGTAGTAGAGTGGTGGTGGTTGATACGATTAATAAAAACTATCAATAAAAAACCAAATAGAATTCTAATGATGATTAAAAGGAGGGACGACAGGTAGGACGTGAAGCAAATGGGCAAGATGGTTGCTGGGACATCTATAAAGTAAAAAAATAAACCTCATTAATAATCATATTCGATTTTTAAAATCTCAATGACAATAAAAAGGAGAAGCAGCGGGCATGATGTATAGGAGTATAGTTGCAGAGCCGCCGACGGTTGGCGGGACTTCTAGAAAATAAAAAATAAATTCCAACGATAGTTATATTCGATTTTTAGAATTTCAATGATAATAAAGAGTAGGCGGCGAACGGGTCGTATAGAAGTATAGTGGCATCGTTTGACAAGACTTTTAAAAATTATAAAAAGTGAAACTAAACTAGACAATAAAGTCTAAAAACTATAAAGTCCAATTTTTAAAGGTTCGGAACTTTTAAAAGGTAGAAAAAAACAATGATAATCATGTTCGATTTTGAAATCTCAATGACAATAAAATGACAATAAAGAAGGGAGGCAGTGGGCGAGCCATAGAGGAGTACAATGGCAAAACCGCTTACGGTTTGGCGGGACTTCTAGAAAGTAGAAAATGGAACCCGAACGATAATTATGTTCGATTTTTAAAATCCTAATGACAATAAAGATATAACACAATGAACGAGCCGTAGATGAGTATAATGAAACTATAAAAAGAAACACAAGAAGACAGTAAACTCGAAAAACTATAAGATCCAATTTTTAAAGGTTACAAGTATAATGAATAGTAATAGCGGTAGATCAAGCAAGCAAACAAATAAGGAGATGACAAAAGTAAGGGATAGCAGCTGGTGTGACTTTTAAAAACTATATAATTAGAAACACGGGGATGATAAGATTTTTCAAAGTCTTAAGACAACGAGATAGCTATTTAATAAATTTTAAGTAAAAACATACTTAAAAAATATATGATTTTGTTTGGGTGCTAGCCGCGCAATTGCGCAGGCCACCCAGCTAGTTTTATTAAAAATTGGCAAGATTCACATACATATTCGTCGTGTGCTAAAAAGACTCGTATTCATAGGCATGTAAATGTGTTGTAGGTACGTAGTCATATGCATCCGTGCACATGTAGACAAACAAAAAAGAAAAAGCAAATATAGGGGTTAAAAGAAAACAAAACCCAAGATGCATCAGCATCAGCATCAGCTGTGCAAAGCAAACAACCGTCCAAGATCTCGACACCTAGCAGAGGAGTACCCGCCGAAGGCTTCTTCTAAATTATTCGAATCACTCACACAAAGTCACAATGGAACCCAACAAACAGGTGAAAGAATATAGTATTAATTTATTCTGGGGCCTCGAAGAATCCCCGCTTGGCCGGCTGCCCGG